ATGGCCTCCACCTGATAGCGATGGCCTCCACCTGATAGCGATGGCCTTCACCTAATAGTGATGGCCTCTGCCTATTAGCGATGGCCTCCACCTGATAGCGATGGCCTCCACCTGATAGCGATGGCCTTCACCTAATAGCGTCCTTTGTCATCAAAAGTCAGACTCGTGAGGACCGGCTTTCCGCATGAGATCGCTCTTTGCTGTCAGGTGGGTCCCATCGAGACCTTTTCGTCAGGATCAGCCGACCGCCTACCGGGTGCTCAAGAGCGACCTCTTCAAGAGACTTGGTCTGAAAAAGGGAAAAGAAATTGAGACAGTTAAGGAGAAGGATAGGAAGGAGAAGGGGCCTTACCATCGTTTTGTTGTTTTATCCTGTTTGCCTCGGTGTTGACTTCGCTTGTTTTCTGACCCTGTGCGGAAGCGAAAGTCATGCCGAGGAAACCAAATGTCTCTGGGGCAGCTTGCCTGTGAAGTTGTCGTTCTGGACCAGAATTAAAGCGCTTCAGCCTTTAGCACCTTCATTTCAACTTCCATGCAGGTTTTGTACTTCAGAGGATGTTGGCTTGAAGCATGAAAGGGGCCGAGGGTCATCCTAAACCTTCCTGTGACAAACAATGCCCCTGATCCTACAAGCTTCCGTATTTCTTACTCTGGATAAACCTTTGATACATAGATAATAGATATTTGCAATCAATTTTGAGTGATAGGTCTTTTTCCATGCAGTGAATTTGCAAATGCAGAGACGTAGAAGTTCTTGACAGGTTGTTATGGAGTTTAGAACTGTTCTATGTCAAGAATCAATCTTCTCAAACAGACCAAAGCTGGGCAAACCAGGGCTCACACTGTCAAACACTTGTACAAGACCTAAAAGGTGTTTGCCACGCTGGAATAATGCGAACAATGCTGGAATAATGCGCATGATGTGTGCTTATCGCTGAGGCAACCCCTGCACCACCAATTTCTCATAATTCACGTTGCTCCCAGTCCACAACCAAGATGCTTTACACCAAGAAATCTGAAGGATTTGCTACAGTCGAGAGCAAGCCAAATCGAGCCTGCGAGAAGAAGGACCAGCGTCATTTCTGAAGCCCCTTCTCAAGCTTTACTTCTTGTTCTACTTCAGACCACGGCTCTTACCGTCCAAGGGGCCCAATGTCAACCCCCTCATTTCCTGCACCACGGCCTTTCCCGTATCCTCAAATGATAGCCTTTCCATCAATTTCTGCTGCCCAAATGTTGCCCCTTAAATCCTCTGCCCCACAGCCTTTTACCATCTATTTGTGCGTGCAGCGGATGGCCAACGTGACTTGGATAGCCTTAATAAATTCGAACTCTGTGTGGCTTTCTCCCCTACTAATTTCGAGCCTTTGTTTGGTTTATTCAGTCTCAAGTTCAATTCCCACACAGTTTGCTGTTGGGGTTCTTTCTTGGTCTCAGTTTAATTGCCCCTTCTTCTCCGCCCTTGTCCGGGTCTGTGTGTCTTGCTTGGCCCCGCTGTGGCCCTTTCTTCTCCCCTTGTCGGCGCCTTGTCCAGGGTTTGTCCGGCTTTGTGTGTCTTTCTGCAGGCCTTGTCCGGGTCTGTGTATCCATGCTTGGTCGCCTTGGGGCCCTTTTTGTTTACATGCTGTGCCCAAACAGTAGGAATATACTTGATTACAGAGCTTGCATCTTTTTCTTCGATTTTGCCTCCAGTCTGTATGTTTGGTTATTGGCAAGGGTGCAGAGTGGAGATTATCGTGTCCATCCCCGAGCCGATGCCTTGCGCCGGCATCTAATTGGCGTATTGTTCGATCCAGCATACATCAATTTGCCCGCGCTACTGGAAAGAGAGCGCTCTCCATGACAGTGGTCGCAGCTTCACATGTCAACGCAATCAACAAAGCCATCATTGGTTGTCAACCTTCATTGAAGTGCTTATATAAAATCCACTCAAAACTTGCATTTCGGAGAATGTGATGTCGCAAAATGTAGCACTCTTGCTTCACTGTGGCGAAGTGAGCATTTTCTTATACCACACTTAGATCCATGCTCGCAAGAGCTCTATCAGTTTGTGAACTCCAGCGCTACTGCAATTAGACCTTTACACGCGTTTGGACCTTGGCTGAAGGAACGGAAAGGTGACTGAGTCCGCGGCAACTGTATTGCTTGAACATAGACTCATTAGCACTTTACGGAAGAGTGGGGTAAACGGCTTGGTCAACTGCTCAACAAAGAGAGATTAAAAGTTGGCAGGTGCACAGGAGTGATCAGCTCCCGCTTCCTAGGACAGTGCAGAGAGCTTCGTTGGGCAGAGCTTTGCAAGTCCTCTCTGCCCCCCTGCTGGTTTGTACATCGAATTAAAGTTAGTGACTAGAAGTAGATACTGTGGTCGTGCTACGGAACTGAATGCCACATGCCACACGCCAGCCCAGGAAACCCAAATCCTGAAAGGTCCAGGAAAATCCTAAAGGGGCCTGGGGGTCTGCAAGAGGAAGTAGGTCCAAACGCTCAAGGCGAAAGCTGACCAACAGGGTGACGGCGTGTCGTGCGTGGCTGCATTAGCACTTTACCAAGGTTAAAAACTGATGCAGGTACGCTGGGATGATCAGTCCCAGTATGGTAGACTCTCTGCCTTGCTACCACCCCCTGCTCTAAACCCAAAGGTTCCCTGTGATTCCAAGGGTTACACACACACACACGCCTCCCCGAAGGGAGGCATGTGTGGCCTCCATCCTGCCCGGAAAGGAGGCAAAGCACATGTGCGCGCAAAAGAGACAGATGCAAATGAAAGAGACGAGACAGACAAAGGTGTGTGTGGTTGCCGATGAAGAACCAAGTGAAGAGGGACAACCGATGAACCAAACCTCATTGTAACAAACCTGGGCCACCTGAACCTCGTTGTAAGTAGAGTACGCGTGCGTGTATGTGTACAAACTAAGGTCCGGACGAAAGTACGCGCAAGAGAAAGAAAGGATGAGGATGAAGAGACATGAAGACAGAAAGACATGAAAGAAAAGAAGGAAAAACGTCTGTGGGGGCCGATGAAAGGTGAACCAAATGAACGGGGACAAACCGATGACAGTCCAAACCTCATTAAAAAACCTGTTGCAGAAGCCTAGTTTGCTTGTAAACACGCCGCGAGGAAAGAGGGGGGGAGGGGGAGTAAGAAAAGAGAGGGAAAGAAAGAAAGAAACAAAGGTGCTCCCAGCTACGACACAAGCGTCCAAGGACACACTCCCAGCTATGACGAAAGCATCCAGGGACACCCAAGGAAGAAGGAAGGTGAAGAGAGGAAAGAAAGAAAGAAAGAAGGAAGGAAGGAAGGAAGGAAAGAAAGAAAGAAAGACAGAAAGAAAGAAAGAAAGAAAGAAGGAAAGAAAGAAAGAAAGAAAAGAAAAGAAACGATAAGATAAGATAAGATAAGACAGAAAGAAAGAAAGAGAGAGGGAGAGAAAGGGAGAGGAGAGAAAAGGAAAAAGGCAGGTGTTCCCAGCTACGAACAAGCGTCCAGGGACGACACACCATAGAAAGAGAGGGGTGATCCTGAGTATTCCATTCAGGAAAACCCCAGGAAGCAAAGAAAGAAAGGGGGAGGGAAGGGGGAGGAGGGGGGGCTCAGTTCTCCACAGGTTCCAATGAACCTTAAACTTGCTTTGACCGCTATGGTCACCTTGTGCCTTGCCAAAATGGCTGGCTGCTCTGACCGCTGCGGTCACGTAAAGTCATAAGCCAACTTGGAATTCCCAATTTGGACAAGCATCTGAGTTCTCTCGGCCTAGGCCACCTACGCTCGCTGCGAGCTGCTCTGTATCCGGGCAGGGGATACGTTCGACAAACCTTCGTTCGACGGGTCGAGGCTGGCCGAGGCCAGACACACTTATGGATATGCGTACGGAACTGAATGCCACATGCCACACGCCAGAATCCTGAAAGGTCCAGGAAAATCCTAAAGGGGCCTGGGGGTCTGCAAGAGGAAGTGGGGCCAAAAGCTCAAGGCGAAAGCGGACCGACAGGGTGACGGCGTGTCGTGCGTGACAGCAGCTGCATTAGCACTTTACCAAGGTCAAAAAATTGATGCAGGTGCGCTGGGATGATCAGTCCCAGTATCACCAAGGCTTAGAGAGTGTCTTCGTTGGTGGTAGACTCTTTGCCTTGCTACCAACTCCCTGCTCTAAACCCAAAGGCTCCCTGTGACTCCAAGGGTCACACACACACACCCAGCCGTATCGGCGCTCCCTTGACTAAAAAAGTTAACCTGACACCTACAAAGCCTTTAGTAATGAACGAAAACCTGGAACGAAACGAAAGAGCCTTGGAAAGGAAAACAAGACCGTGCATGAGTTACTCAGTGTGAAGCGTACAAGTGAATACTTAGCATTTGACTAAAAGTTAACCTGAAACCTAAAAAGCATCTAAGAACAAGAAAACAAAAAGGAACAACAAGAGAAAAAACAACAGCAAGATGAATACTTAGCTGCGTGACGTGATGATTACATTAGCAGCATGTCACTCTGTGGGAAAGACAGTGGGCCCTGTGGCATACATTCTGCAATCTCGAGCAGGTGGCTGATCAAGAGAGAATCAAGCAAGACGATGAAACACTGATGGATCCCTCTTAAGGTTCTCCTTTACACCGAAAGGTGACTGAGTCCGCGGCAACAGTATTGCTTGAACATAGACTCATTAGCACTTTACGGAAGAGTGGGGTAAACGGCTTGGTCAACTGCTCAACAAAGAGAGATTAAAAGTTGGCAGGTGCACAGGAGTGATCAGCTCCCGCTTCCTAGGACAGTGCAGAGAGGTTCGTTGGGCAGAGCTTTGCAAGTCCTCTCTGCCCCCCTGCTTGTTTGTACATCGAATTAAAGTTAGTGAGTTAGAAGTAGATACTGTGGTCCTGCTCCTTGGAGACAGGAGTTGACACACACACACACACACACACGCACGCCTTGCAAACATTTTGCATCATTTTGCTATTTCGCTACAGCGACCGTGAACTCGACAAGTTCTAGTTTCCCCCATGTCTCTCTCTCTCTCTCCCTCTCTCTCTGTCTCTCTCAGCAGCGTCAGTGCTACTGCTTTTCCACTCACTGCATCAGATCTTTGCCGATTGGCCGGTTTTCCCATCTCCAACAGTGCCTTTGCAAGCGCTTGAACAGTTGAGGGTTGACGCCGCCAGCGGAAATCAACATCTGCGTGGAGGTGGGAATTGCCGACTTGCAACAGGCCCAAAATCCATCAATGGATCTTGTGTTCACATCTAGTGACGGTCGTGGACGCCCATTTTTTGACTACATTGAACTCACCTTTACTGTGGTTGCAAAAGAAACACACTATATAATCTGTACTGTCTGGCCAAGCACATCCAACCGAACGTAATTAACCCACCCAACCCCACACCCTCCATCTTCCAAAGCGTCTGTGCATGTAGCATGATTTTCCAACGTGTGTGTGCGCATGTGGCATCATCTTCCAAACACAACCAACGCGCTACCACCGACAAGTGCAGAAATTCCGAACTGCAAGGAAATTCGGTAAAACGAATGCAATAAGGAACTGTGAACAAGTATGAAGAAGAAAGAGGTTGCCGTGATTCAACATACCAAAATGCAGTGAACATATGCTCACTTTCGTGCCAAGTGCAACGACATCGGACAAATTATTTGTGGTTTGATAGACATTGCACGACTACTAGTGCAGCTCCGAGCTTGGTTTTTACTTAGGACAAAATCATCAAAATTTCAAGACCAGTGAGCTCTACCGCAGGGGTCTCAGACCACATCTAATTAAAGCCTTTTCAATTGATCGAACATCGCAAGGTTTTGTTGGATCTCCAACCTTGGAATCCGCGGAATCCCACCAACTGCCCATGGATCATCGTTTGTGTCCAGGTGCGCACCACTGGAGAGCTCTTTGTGGGCGCCAGTGGTGGCATTTGGGCAGAGCTGGACGTCACGGCTGGCGAGAAGAAAGGCCCGACCTTCTGATCTGATATGGCCTAGGTTGTTTCTTCGTTTCTGCTCGGATTCTCTTTATTGCACACATTTTTCTGTAGAGGCTGGATCTACGTGAAGGCCGGGCCAGTTGCAGCAAGCGGACATGCCGACTATGGCTCTGCAGATCATGTCAAGGGTCACATGTGACACGCTAGGGGTAAGCTGACAGTGAACGAGCAACCATCCAATCAATTAGAACGCTTGATCGCTTCAACGGCTAAGTGTCTCGTGACCATTGCCAAGCTGATATCCTGGTGATGTAACCTGTAAACGAACCATCAATAGCATGTTTAGAATACAGAGTGTGGGGCAACGCCGGCCACGCCCAACTCAAAACTGCTGCTGAGGGGCCTGGCTTTGGTGCCAGCAGCTGCAAGGTGACAAGCGAGTATCTCCAAGCGTAGAAAAAGAGCGAATAGCGAAAGGAAGATTTTGAGAGGATCGCAGGGCTTCAGATTGCTCTTCCTGGAAGAAATCCGCAGCCAGCCAAATCCCCCTGCATTCCCAAGGGCATGGCCCTGCTGCCCTGTGAGCAGCTTCTTTTGGCAAGGTATGTGGATGAGCGACCTGTCCCCATCGAGGACAGAGCACTCCAGATTGCATGCGGTTGAAATGACACCGATGGACAGAAACTCATGCTAGAATCTTTTTTCGGGAACAGCTAGCTGTCGGCAAGGACGGTGTGCATGTTTGAAGACGTGCTATGAAGAAGCCACAGTTAGTTTGAAGGACCTTGGCTGCTCCCGCAAGCCAATCCTGCAGTTCAACAGCTTCCAGTTTCTGCCAACACTTGTCGCAGGAGAGCTTCTGTGATGTTCTGAACCTTGACTCTTTGGATTGGCGGCCGTTGCCCAACTCCGCCTACCGCCACATATGCATTGATGAAGGACATTTGGGTTGCACTGAAGCAAGACATCAAGTAACGATTTGCATAGGGCCCCATTCCACTGAGTATTAGCCATTTGGCTTTAGATCCCAAGCAAACTCATATTTGTGTTGGAAGTCAGCTTGGGAACGGAACATGTCCGTTTTAGCTTGACAGCAGACTCTCCTTCCTCTGCTGAACTGTCCTAACATCCCAGCACCAAAGCATAGATTCGTGGTCACCAGTTCCTTAAGCAAATTGTGCTTTTTCCCTCAACCAGACATCTTGGACCACAGCGCCTTCTTTGGAGCTGCCTCGGTGTGGTCCCTCAGTCGTGGAGCTTGGGGTTGAAGACTAGGGTCAGAGGCTTTCACTGTTCACGCGTTAAGGATATAAATGAAAGCTTTCTGACTGTTTCGAAAGCTAGCTAGCTGGAGTTGCTCTTGATTTAGTAAGCTTTGGGCTGGCTGGAATTGCTACAGGCCCCGTTCGATTCCCTGCCTTTCTCATTTTGGCCCAGCTAGATTTCGTCTCGTGAACCAAGCAAACATTCTTAGGATGGTCCTAGTAGCGTCCTTGCTCCTAGTAGCGATGCCAGGAGCCCCTAGTAGCTTCTTGCTCCTAGTAGTACGGCCAGGAGCCCCTAGTAGCGTCCTTGTTTCTAGGGTTCCTAGATGTTTCTAGGGTTCCATGCTGAAGCAGAGGGATCTCAAAAATTGGATGCCGCAGCTGAGGTAAGCCGCCGCATCGTGGCACTCATGGGACATATGACGCTGGAGCCATGGTTGCACAGAACAGACAAAGTTGGAAGACCTTTTGGGCACCACAACATGATAAGTGACAACCAGAAAGCGAGCAGCATACGCTGCTCAATCAATACTCGAGGTTGGTTTCTAGATCCAAGACCTTGCGATCAATTTTGGTGTGGTGTTCTCGGCCTCCCCTTCCCACCTGGCTTGAAGCCTCAAGAACCAGAGTGCACAAGGAAGATGTAGATTTCCAGAGAGATCCAGTCAAGAGGGGGCTGACTTTCCCTGTCAGAAGATGTGGCTGAGCCTTGATGCCCAGGCCTACAATCCGACATTGCCTGAGGATGGGTGGCGGGCCGTGGTAGCCCCCCTCGGAGATGTTGAGGCTGCATCGATTGCTAGATGTGTGATTCTAAGTCTATTTCTTTTTGGTTCCTTATGGTTGTGTCACCTGTGCAATGGAAAGGAACCTCATTGATAGGACTCGTGAATATCTGAATACGCGACTATATATAGCGGTAGAATGTCACGGTCATTTCGAAGACTCGGCGTCAGGTAGGTGCCTCCTCCTGCTGCGTTGCCTTGGGGGACGAGCTGATTGTTGCCTCTGGGCGCCCTCCGGCACTGGCTCGGAAGGCGAATTGCCTCCAGTCCTTTTGAGGTTCAGAAGTGATTTTTCAACAGAGGCCCACCTTTCTCAAGGCTTCTCAGGCATTTTGGTGATGTAAAGCCAAGAGTCCCTTCATGCCCACGCCCACTTTTGCACCGGCTGTCAAGTATCAAGGGGAGTGTTTTTGGATGTTTTTGGCGTTAATGCTGGCCCTTGTTGTGTGCTGGCGATCCCTTTGAACAGGGAGCCAAGATCTTCTCAGACCACCAAATTCTTTCCAAGTTTCAGAAGTGACTTAGCCAGGTGGCCGGCTTCCGCTTTGCCAAACCTCCGACAGACCCTTTGTGGCGTTTTGGCTTGATGGAGTCATGTCGAATAAGGCTTTCTGATGTACTTCTTTGGTGAAAGCACCAAAAACTTCCTCGCAGGACAGCCTTATGTTGAAGAAAGCAGGTGAAGAGGCCTTGAAACGCCACTCTATTCGGACCATTGAGCTTTCAAGTTGTGCTTGACTTTGAGGTTGGGAGCATCGGTTTGTGCTAGGTAGGCTAGGTGTATGACTGGGCTCTAATTGGAAACACCCGCAACTCTTTTGATTCGTGCAGAACTCATCAAAAGCATCAACATCTCTGGAGACTACAATGTACTCAAATAACAGGATGCCAAAAAGGTTTGAGGAGGGAACCGGCACTCTCCTTGCGTTCCCGCACCTCCGATTCCCTCCAAAGAACCAACAATGGCCTTGATCCTTGGTTGAATGAAAAGCCGTGCTGCACTTGGTGCTAGTGATGTATACATATACTGTTGCATTCCCAGCATCATTTAAGCACGTTTAAGCAAACGTACTCCTTGGTTCGAAACAAGTGGGCAGGATGCTGGGACAGACACAACCACCATACCTGCACAGTTGACCAGGCACAGCATCTTCTCAATCGTTCATCCAGCAACAGTTCAGGATCTATTTTCTAGGGCGGATTGTCTTTGCCCCTGCTTGGCTAAGGTTTCATGGCTCTTGGCGTCAGCTGCCAGACCTTGACAAAGCACGTGTGGGTGGTGCAATGGCTGTGGGGAGCTCAATGTGATTTGTTTGCTGTTCTCAAGATGGTGGAGCTGCTTTGCTGGAATACGCTAGGTGGTGGATGACTACTTGTACATCACTGGAGGCAAGTGCTTGTGTGTTGCCGAGCAAACATCTTTGAACAGCGTGGAGATGATATCCCGTCTTAGTATATACATACTAAATAATCTAAAATCTCTTGTAGAAGTTCACAACTTGTGCACTTGTACACAGGACATGAACTCTCATAATCGGACTTAGCACAGGTGTAGATGAGACGACCGGAGAATTCCACAACACAGCAGAGCGGCTGGCAGCAAGACCTCGGGATGTCGAAGATTGGCAGAGTGCCATGGCTTGCTCCAAAGGGACTGAGCGCTTCACTGGTCATGTGAATCAGGGACGCAATACGAGGCAAGCTGGCCTTGCAAGGAGTCCGTAACTGATCACTTGAAGTCCGTAGGGTTTCAAGCTTGCAGCTTCATGTTTAGGACCTCGCCCTTACTCAACTACCAACACCTATTTTACAGACAGAGTCAGACTCAAACAACAACGTGCGCTCTTGTAGCTTCTGCGACGAGGTGTTCCATGGTTTCAGATGCCCCGGGCGCTGCTTGGCGCAGTTTGGATCCCTGTAGCAAGCTCCGACTTGCTGGGTCAGAGCCTCCAGTTTTCTGGCACAACTGAAGAGAATCGCGTCCGGTCCAATTTGACCATTAAACGGATCTGAGGCTACATGCACATAATGCCTTTGCAATGCCTTACTTGGAATGAAGAGAGGACTGAAGTGCAAAATGTGGAGTGTGCAGAAGCTCGAAGCAGAAGCTCTTCAAGAACGTGATGGTGCTCTCCCACGGCCATCCACTTGTTAACCAGCGAAGCCAAGACTGCCCTGCAGAAGACTTCAACCTCAAGTGACTCGATTCGAGCCTTTTAGATGCTGCGCGACCTGGCGACGTCCTCCTGCAAATCCCGAGCGAAAAGCACGGCAGCCACTGGTCTGTGTACATCAGGATGTGATTGCAGACAAGTGTATTAGACCCTCATGACAGAGTCTTAGGTCAGCTGCTCACAGCGTTTTGATCAGAACCAATTTTGGGCCACATCCGCAGAGACACCTTTTTCTTGCCCGGCACCTTTTTCTTGCCCTTATCAGAAGCCTTCCCACGGCTTTGCGATCAAGCTACAGGAACAGATTGGTGATATGAGAAAGTAGCAATTTTTGATAGATCTGTTGTTTGCACACCTGCTGTTCTGCGATTCCAACCCGAAATCTGATGGGTTTCCATTTTTCCACCCTTCAGGATTTGACAGTGACAGCTGCATCGATTCAATCGCAATCTCCTGTCCACTACACCACTTTCCCACTGACAGGCCAAAACTGCTGGCACCTAGCTCTCGATTTCACATGGAAAAAAAGCGCTGCGGGAAGGCCATTGAAGTCTTCAAGAGCACATGCAATCGGCTGGTCCGTTTGCCAGAAATTTCACTGACAATTAGTATTAGTGTCAGTTTTGACTTCTGCCGTATAATTGGATACTTTTGGACACTGATATAATATACGCGTGTGCTCAGAGTTTTCGTGGTTTGCCATTCTCTTCCAACCTTGGAGCGAGTCACATCGTGTCCGCCCCCTTGTCAAGATTAAAGGGATCTGTACAGCAGTGTAGCGTACAGACTCTATGGCACCAACACTATGGACCGACGCTCTCAAACCAGACCCCCCGACCTGGAGACACACCATCAAGCTGTCAGACTTTTTGCATGGGGCCTTTCTCGTTAATTGACTTCAGTGAGCATACACTAGCCAAACTTCTCTTGGCAATGACGGCGACCATTTGCTTGCAGGAGCGGGCCGTTGGTCTTGGATGGTTCAGCAATCTTTTTCTCAGGCTTCATGGGGCGATCTCCACATCGAAAGGCCTGAAACAAAAGCCCCGAGTCCTCAAAACCAATTTCGAAAGAGCGATTCCAATCCGCAAAGAACGATTCCAGGATACATAAAACATGTTTGAAGGAGATGGACATGTGAAATGTGTGTTCAAGCCATATTAACTTCACCAAAACATGGCTCTCCACATATGGTCCTCATATGGGGCCTATGGGGCACATATTTTTCAACACTTCATAGTGACACCGGCGGCTCCACCGTCGCACAAACGATGGGCCGGCATTGCTTTGACTCAGCTTACTTTGGCAATCACGTCTGTCCTATGCCGCCCCACTTCGGCGTGTCGGCTCTGGATGAGCTTGTGCTCGCTTGGTCTCAAATATTTGTTTGGGGTGGGCCCTTCAATTCCATAGGCGTCCTCCTAGGTGCTGGGTATTTTGTGACAGAATGGTTCCAAACTCCTGGTCAAGTGGCTTCACGTTGTCACTGTGCGCAATGCTCTGCATGCCCTCAACCTGGGCAAAAGTGCCCACTGGTGCACCTGCTCCAGACGAGTAGTGGTTGGTGCTACGAAAATGGCAGAGCCATCCTTCCAGGTCAGCTTTTGGCCGGAAGCTGAATCACTCACTTGCTACGTAGGGTCCATTTGCTTTCTGGTAATACCATTCAAGACACGCATGGGTGCATCACAGGACGCAGAGAGGATAATAATGCACAATATGTATATAGTTATACATCTATGCCAACATGCCAAAAATTATATAACACAAAAAAAGAACAACACATTTAAACAGAAACCAGATGCCTTTGCAGGTGCTCCCAGTTTTTGCAATGAACTTTCATGGAATTTCAGTTTTCGTGGCTGTCAGGAGCAGCTGAGCCTCGTTTTGGTCACGTCCCCGGTGCCATCCAACCCTTCCACAGAGTTGTTGGAGCACGTGCTGAATTCTTTCTTCGCAGCATATCAAGGAGCCGCTTGCCGTGGCGCGCAGTTGCGTGGACGCCAGGTCCCATCGATGTGGGCACTCTGTAGTATTGTGTTTCAGTAGTTACTTGTACGTGCAGGCCTTTCACAGACTGGGCAGGTTGGAGCAGCTGCATCAACTTCAATCAAGGAGTTTCCACGTCTTCAAGAGACACCACTTGACATCTTGCTCTATGTAGAGTCTTAGAGTACCGTACATCCAGTTGTGGATGAAGAGAGAATCCAAAGTTGGATCTGCAGAGGACTCAGAACCATGAAAAACAAACACATATAGTCAGGAAAGGGATCTCCTCACGAGGTCTGCTGAAGTTCTCATTTCCAGGGGGAGGTTTAGAATGTTAGAATTGATAGTTGCAAATGATCGAATTGATTTATCACTACAAAAGGGCTCCCCCCACCCCAACACTTTGCGTGATCGAACCAATTGGTACCCCCCTCCCTTAACGAATGTTTGAGTGATTGGAATACGTATTGGAACCAGCTTAACGAAGCAAAGCTTGTTCCAGATTAGTGTTGGATCATTTCTACGCAAGTCTTGTTGGTGACACTAGTAGAGTACACCATCGCCTGCATCGGTGGTCTTTCTCTTACTGCTGGTGGTGAAATGAGCAGAGTATTATCTCGCTTTCGTTCCCGCATATGCATGGGTTACGTATGCGGTTGTAAAAACGAAACGGACCCGAAACTCTTTCATCCGCAGTGTGTTTGGCTTCAGCAATGCCAGGAGGCCCCCCTGGACAGGGGGGGCCTCATCCTCCAGCGGATTGCAACTGCCCCTTGTGCGTTGTCTTCCGCAAAGTTGCATCCCTGGTATTTGGAGCCAATACATCACAGGCACTGAGGGATCGCTCTCGTCCATTTTTTGAGGGCTTGTGCACCCAATTGTTGGAGATCGCCCTGGAGGTTCAGGGTACTTCAGCTTCCCGTGCTGGTGAAGCTGATCCTGCCAGGGAAGCGAGGCCCGGAGGCCCACCGCTTCCCTCGTCGGCCCCTGAGCCGGCCGGAGGAAACCGAGGAGGAGGCGATCCTGGACAGACTGCTGCGGCTCCCGGAGGATCGGGAGTGAAAGAAGAGCAGGAGGAATCACCTGCGAGGAAGGCCGAAGAGAAGGTTGCAGAGACAGCCGCCCTGCCTGTTTCTACTGCTTCGGAGGGCCCCGACGGCGAAGGTGCTACCTCGGCTGGATCACGGCCGGAAGTTGAGACAGAGGAGAACGAAGAGCTCCAACCCAAGGGCAAGCGGCTGCCCCCACTCCCCCGGCAGAGGCGGGGGGGATACGACCGGGAGGACAGCTCGAGACGCAGAAGGAGGCGTGAAAGGTCTCGGAGGCGCAGGCGTGATCCTTCCCCCCCCGTCCAGCCACCAGGAGCTGCATCCCAAGGCGGCGCCAAGCAGCAAGCGACCAAGGACACCATCCCGCAGTCCGCCCAGTGTCCATACCCCCGAGGACCAGTCTTCGAGCGCAGGCGAGTGCAGAAACCCCAACGATCGGTTTCGGGGAACATCCCTGGAGGTGGCTGAGGAGGAGGCAGACGACACTGCAGCCCATACACCCCCTGCAGGTGAGGAGACCGAGCAGGAGGAGGTTGAACTCCCGGAGGAGGAGCCCCAGTTGGAGGAGCAGGAGCCGAGCCCCCATCGTGCGAAGGGCAAGGGGCAAAAAGGAAAGGGCAAAGGCAAAGGATCCAAGGGCAAAAAAGGCAAGAAGTCAAAGCCCAAGAAGCGAAATCGAGGCCTCAAGAAAGTGCAGAGGAACATCGACTTTTACGACAACAAGCGCCGTGATCCCACATGGCGCCGAAGCGCGCAATGAGAAGACCAGCCCGGGCACCAGAGCGGCCTCGGGTGAGGAGAAGGCCGGCCGGTGCCGATCTTCCCGACGCAGATTGGGAGAAGGCCTCGGAAGTGAATATTCGGGAGTTGAACTCCTGGCCGGCGATATACATACAAGGGCTCTATTGGGACAACGATGCAGAGGTGATCGGAGAGATGAAGTCCCTGGCGGTCGGGGACGATGGAACAGTGTTGACCGTGAAGGCCCATGGGACGACTTCGGAGGAGCTCCTACGGCTGCTGTCAGGACGGGCTTCAAAGCTGTTGCAAATTCATCTTTGCGACGAACCGTGCAGCCACCTGGTTTGGAAAGAAGGCCTGATCCACGCGCAGCGGCTCAAGAAGTGCCAGTTCGAAGACCATCCATGGAGCCGGAACGCCGAAGTCAGCGTGCGAGAGGCAGAGCGGGACGAGATGGAAGTGCTCCGGAAAGAAGCGGCCGAGCGGGGCAAGGGTGTGGGCGCAGGCCCGGGAGCTCCTGGGGCAGCCGCGGAGGAGGCGGTGCGGGAGGCTCCCAAAGAAGAGAAGGAGTCATCAAGCAAAAAGAAAAAGAAAAAGAAGAAGAAAGCAAAGGAACGCATGATCCCTGTCAAGACCCTGGAGGCCATATTTGGTACAACAGGCCTAGATCCCAAGGAGGAGGTCCGCCGGAAGCTCCGGAAAAAGGCCAAGCGTCTGAGTCGCAAGGCCAGGGGTCGCAAGAGTTCGTCAAGCTCCAACTCGAGCGACTCTTCATCGGGCAGCTCAACGGTGGAGGAGGGCCCGGCCGAGGAGTTGTTCTCCCCGGTCTCAGCGCCGCAGAGGATTTGGAGGAGGTTTCCAGGCGTCCTTACATCGACGATGATACTCGAGGCTCAAAGAGTTATGCTTCTACAGCTAGGCGCCGGTCTCCACGAAGCCGAGACACAGAGCTTGCGGCCAATAGTGAGTCAATACTGTCGGCAACATCTCATGGCGAGCATGGCGCCACCCGTGGCCCGGGAAGCTTTGCATTGGTCAGCAGTCATCGACCTCATCTTGGAGGGTCGCGTGGCCAGTGCAATGGACGTCATGACTCAGCGTCTCAAAAGTTTGGAAGGGCTGAGCAAGTCTATGAGGCCAGATCTTCTTCGACAACTCGAGTTGCTGCCCCTGGACCGCGGGGGTTTGGCGACGTCATCGGAGGTCCAGATGGCGGGCCAGGCTGCGAATCACGAGGCGAAGGTCTTGCAGAAGTCGACCAACAGGCCGTGGGAAGAGAGGCCAAAAGGAAAAGACAAGGGGGAGAAAGGCAAATGGAAAGGCGGCAAGGCCGAGAACAAGCCCAACGAGTTCGACAAGAACAAGAAGGAGAAGGGGGACGGCAAGAAAAAGTCGTGACTTATGAGAGGAGCGGGAGTCCACGGGACGGCGGGAGCACCCTCCTGGTAGAGACTCCTGAAGTGTATGAGGAAGAGAAGTGCATGAGTTTGGCCCATTTCACTCCGCCCAGGGATGAACGGGGTCTCGAATTTGATAGCCCTGGAAAGGTGGCGACGCTGAACGATGGTGAGCCGCTGGACCTTACAGTATCCATTTCTCCGGCGGGAGATGCAAAGTCGATGGCAGAGGAAGCTGAACCTGGCGAAGATCATGTTTCAGAGGACTCTACAATACGTGGCATTTTCAAGAGGGCAGTTGAGGTGTTGAGACAGGACGGGCACCTACACACACGACGCTCCAGCACGGAGTTCGACCTTGGCTCACAGTGCCCACCGTTTCCACTACGGATCCGAACGGAGGGCTGGGGCAAGAGGTTGAACTTCCCTCACCTGCCCCACTTTGATGAGCTGGTGAATGGCACGATGGCGGCGCTCAATCATTTGGCTGGATTCGAAGGCACCCTGACGCCATCACCGGATGACTCCACTTCGTCGGCAGCATCTCCTGAGACCAGCGTTCGATCGCTCGCGGAAAAAAGACTGGCGGCACTCGTCGTTCGCAATCACATGTGGGAGGTGCCTGAATCTTCGTTGTCTTTTAGTGATTTTTTCTCGAGGCGCAAGGTTGACTATTGTGGGGAGGAAGTAAAGTTGGCTCAAAGTGTTACATGGGCAGCTGTGAGTGAGTCGCTCCCGGAAGGAGTAGGGAGCTTGCCACTTTCAGATTTTTGCACTTTGGGCACAAAGGGTTATGTTGATGATTTCGAACGCTATTTGATGCCAGCAGACGCCCAGGTGAGGGTCAACCACCCCCGGGTCATGATTGGAGAAGGAGAGTGGCACAACGTGTGCAGTGGACTGATTGAAAAGAGGGTGTGCGAGGTGTGGCCCATTTCTCAGCTCCACCATATTGATGGAGCGCCGCTGCTTAACGGAATGTTTGCAGTAGGTAAGGGCGAATTCAGGGCAGGAATTGAGACTCAGCGCCTTATTATGAATTTGGTGCCAGTCAACCAAATCTGTAAACCTCTACAAGGCGACGTGGGGACTCTTCCTGCGGTCTCTGGCCTTGGAGGGTTCCTCTTGGGATCGGGGGAGGTCGTCCTCCTATCTTCAGAGGACATCAAGTGCTTTTTCTACCTATTCTCTATTCCAACGCCCTGGAAGAAGTACATGGGTTTCAACAAGATCGTACCACCTGAGTTTGTTTCCCGTGAGCTGTCTGGACAGTCCTGTGTGTTGGTAGCACGGGTGTTGCCTATGGGGTTTCTGAACTCCGTCAGCATCGCCCAACACATCCATCGGAATGTGGTTCGGTGGTCAGCGATGGCAGGCAAGCCACCAGTGGGAGCAGAGGGAGAACTACGGAAGGATCGGGTCATGAGCTCAGCGGCGGAGACAGAGCTATTATGAGCAGGGCGTTCGAGCGGACGCCCCATAGGATAGATGCAAAGGGCATGTCGTTGTGCGCGCGGCCAAGGCTATATTGGACTACATGGGAGTGCTATGAGAGCCCGGGTGTCTCCTGGCAGGAGGGAGACGGTGACGGCTGGGAGGCCTTTGACAAAGCAGTACTAGAAGCTCGAGTGAACAGCAAAGCGTTGCTGCTTCCGGGCTGGAGTCTGAGGGAAGGCTGTCACTTGCCGACTTTTACCACCTCGAGGCCGAGGGATGCTCCTGGCCGAAGACCTGCGGGAGTTGAGCAGTGCGCTGAACATGAGCTGCAGCGGTGGTATGGTGACTTCTACAGGTTCCCCCCGTACCAGTACCGTGACAGCCACGGCCTCTGGGATAAAAAAGGCAACTGGAGGAGACCGTCGGCACAGGAACGGGAAGCCTGCATGGGATTTCCCATCAATTATACTCGACATTGCGTGGTGAAGGCTGAACAGCAAGGTCAAGCTTATGAAGACGCCCGTATGACAATGGTTGGCAACAGTTGGCACGTTGGTGTTGTTTCAGTGCTGCTCAGTCCGCTTACTCAACCGCTCGGGTTGGGGCCAAAAATGTCTGCGCAGGACATCGTTGACGGTACCACTCCTGGTCAAGCACGGGAGTTTCCTTCTATGTTGATGAGGCCGCCCCATGAGGGCCGTCTGGCTGCAGCTGAACCGGGAGCAGAGCAGCGGTTAGTGGCCAAATGTTTGGGACTGGCTTCAAGCAAGGGTGAAGACCTGTTGGTACACGCAGCGAGTGATCCAGCACCACGATATTTCCGACTTCGTGCAAGCATACCTGGACGCCTTTGGCATTGGCGTGAGATCTCGGGCTGGAAGTGGAAGAAAGCGGGAGAACATATAAATCTCCTGGAGTTGCGTGCAATCTTCACAGGTATAAAATGGAAGGTGAGCAGGTCGAAGAAGTTGGGTGTGCGTTTTCTACACCTTACAGACAGTATGGTGTGCCTACATGCTCTGACTCGGGGTCGAAGCTCGAGTCGAAAGTTGCGACCGGTCCTTATGAGGCTCAATGCATTGCTGCTCGCGGCTGACCTTCACCCCCTGTGGGGTTACATACATACTTCGCAGAACCCGGCTGACCGGCCTAGCCGGCGGCCCGTGCGTCGACGATGGGGAAAGTAGGCAAGAAGGTCCTTGAAGGTCAGACAAAGCAGCAAAGGCAGTCGCAGAGGAAAGAGTTAGGCACACTTCGAAGTCTCACAGTTTCCAGCAAGACTAGTGTTAGATACGCATCAGCTCGCACGAAATTTTATGATTTTCTCCGAGAGAACTCACTCGAGATCCCCCGCCGACGGGAGCTGTTTGATGGCCTCCTGGCTGAATACATAGAGCATTTGTGGTCCGAGGGGGAAGGTCGAGGCCTGGCTGCGGATACGGTAGCTGGCCTACAGGACAGTGACCCAAAGTTGAAGGGCCAGGTCCAGCTGACTTGGAGACTTTTAAAGACATGGAATGTCAATGAAGTGCCAAATAGGGCACCACCCCTCACGGAAGCCGCGCTTGAGGCGATGGTCGGCTGGAGCTTTTTCCATGGCCATTTCGGATTCGGGGTATCACTCCTGGTGGGTTTCTATAGCATGCTTCGTACTGGCGAGCTGACGACCCTACGAAGCTCCCACATTTTCATGAAAGCTGCAAATGCCCCAGCCGTTCTTAGTCTCGGTCTCACGAAGAGTGGGAAACGTGTAGGAGCTGCTGAGTCGGTGACCCTAACGGTAGCAGTTGCCCTTCGATGGTTGTGGGCCTGGAAGCAAACTGCAAAACCACATGCCTTGTTCGTTTCATCAGCGTCAGCCTGGCGTAGGCTGTTCTCAGAATGCCTCAGTGCATTACAGTTGACCCTTTTTGAGTTTCGACCCTACTCTCTACGTAGGGGGGGGGGGCGACCTGGTGGTTCACCAAGCACAGTTCGTTCGATAAGCTGATGGTAGCTGGAAGGTGGCAAGCTGCCAAAACTGCCCGAATTTATTTGAACGAAAGCATGGCAGTGCTGGCGGACCTTAGACTCCCCCACAAATCCTTGTTGCCTTTTGCCCGAGTTTTTCACAATCAAGTTTCGCCTCCACACTTGAGCACGCGGGCGCGCCGCAGAAAAAGGGGGACGTGGAAGGGGGGTCTTTTTGTGCCACTTTTTTCGAAAAAAGCACCAGCTTGAAGGTTTCGGCTAGGCGAAATGCTTCAAGGGGGGGCAAGGGGGGTTTTCCTTTCTCTCTGGTTAGGCGAGAGTTGGGAAAACTGAGCTCCTTTGGACCTTGGACAGGTCAAACCACGTCGGTTGAGGTCTGGAGAAAGACCACCTTGTGAGTTTTCCTCTTCTGTTTTTGTGATTAACTGCGGAGCGTTGTGAAAAGATTCGTCCGTGAGTTTTTGGGTTACGTATGCGGTTGTAAAAACGAAACGGACCCGAAACTCTTTCATCCGCAGTGTGTTTGGCTTCAGCCCCACCCCTCCCAGCCCAAGGCTGAAGGAAGGGGGGTCTTTTTGTGCCACTTTTTTCGAAAAAAGCACCAGCTTGAAGGTTTCGGCTAGGCGAAGTGCTTCAAGGGGGCAAGGGGGGATTTCCTTTCTCTCTGGTTAGGCGAGAGTTGGGAAAACTGAGCTCCTTTGGACCTTGGACAGGTCAAGCCACGTCGGTTGAGGTCTGGAGAAAGACCACCTTGTGAGTTTTCCTCTTCTGTTTTTGTGATTAACTGCGGAGCGTTGTGAAAAGATTCGTCCGTGAGTTTATATATATATATACACATAATGACTAACTATGTATATATATATATTATTATTACTATTTGTTTTAAAAAAATCAATGTATGTGAAAAAAAAAATATATATATTTAAACAAACTGGATTTGTCACATAAAAACTCATGGGGGCCAATTAGGTTGGAGGCCATCGCTGGTAGGTTGGAGGCCATCGCTATTAGGTACAAGACTTGAAGTCTCATTGAATTCTGCAGGACTTGCTGAGTGCGACGCCTGGGTGGTCTCTGATGGTTTCCGCGTGGCGGAGCCAGCCCAGCGGCCAAAGCCCAAAGCTGGCCGCATCGCTGAAGGGATGGTGGCGCCCTACGAGGAATTCAGGCTATAAGTGGCAGTTTTGAGTGTGGAGTGTATATACATATAGACACAAGTGTTGAGGTGACAATTTGAACTCAGGGCTGTGTCCAGTTGTCATTTTCCGCTCTCTACTCAGAATCACCGAACAAGAGTCTTAGTATCCTGTCCCTGTAACCCAAATCCGAGAGTATACAGAAGCCGCTGTCGTTTCGTTCTGCAAGATTCCCTTTGTGCCAGATCTCGACTGGATGCCTTGGCACATGTCCGTCACGTGAGAGCGCCAGAGCACAAGGGCTTTGCTGGGTGTCTACATATCGCGCTCCGGAAGGTGGGGAGGGCTTCTTTGGACTCCAGAAACTCCAGGAGGGTTGTGGTGGTTTTGGAAGTCTTCAAGCATCGCCTCGTTTCAATGGAGGCCCAGTGTGTTTCATGTCAACTTTATTCTTGTTGCGGCGTGATCACGAGAATGCAGTTTTTCTTATATCCAGCGGAGCAGACACGTGTATGCCAACGACAATAGCTGGATATCCGCGACATGATGCAGTTGCAAGGGGTCCTGCCAGTGCGGGAATACATTGCCTAATATGTACATCACTTGCCAATTCAATTTGGACATCACCAGAACATCAGAAGCTCAAATGCCGCCTCAAGAACGTCGATTCTTAATGAAGTAAGCTGGAAGCTTTCGGCATGTGGTGGCAGCTCTGCAGAAGCTCATGAAACAAAAGCTCATCCCAACATAAAGTAAGGTGCGACTATATAGTTTACCTTTGCTCAGCTTTGGGTATTCTTATGTGGGAGTTTTTTTGGTGCCGACCTGCACTTGCAAATGAACAAGATGTAACAAAGATCTTCAAGCAATACTAATACCAAGAAGCGCAACAGTTTCGTGCACCTTACCACTCACATGCTCCAATTTCCCTGCAAGTTGAACCAACACCACCACAAGTCATTATCTATTGCAACCTTACATAAAGAGAGCGTAAGGTAATGAATACAGATGTACCATGCAATTGATGGAACACAATCTCTAGATTTGATCGCTTTGCCTCGCAATATACCTTGAACTGAGTAAATTAAAAGATGCATGAGTGTCATGTGGGAATGTTATGCTGTGCAGTGGCATTCTAGGATCAGACAACGAGTACACTTGCACGTGTGAACACCTCACGACAGCAAATTCGCATCACTTCACGAGTGGCGAAGACATGGTACCACTACTACTAGCGATGCCTTTGTTACTAGTAGCTTCTTGTTCCTAGTAGTAATGCCAGGAGCTACTAGTAGCTTCTTGCTGTCACTTCGATTTCAGCGGCGAAAACAGCTTCAATGCTGTCAGAACTATACCACTTTTCCACGGACTTGGCACTTTCAATCTTTGCGCCGTGAAAACCCACGACCTACGGTTCACTGGCGGTTAAAACGTACCACTTCCAGCAGACAACACTTCACTCTTCACCAGGATCACCAGGGCTCACTTGTTTTCTAAGCCGGCTCCCCGCGCGCGTTCAGCCTAGGAGGTTACACATGTCAGGGCAAAGGTAAATTCGGTAAATTGGTAAAATGGGTAAATTCGATGCATTGGTAGACTTCTAAAATCGGTAAATTGGTACTGTTATTTTTTTTTACATTTACGGTTTTTATCCTTTTATCGCGCGCTATGGTGTCCTAGAGTGCATTAAAAATAGCAAAGGCAGAAACAGCCAGCAAATACAACAGAGCAGGATGCGCATGTACATTTCCTATGTAATCAAGCCTGTGTGCAAAACGCTACAAACAAGGAAACAGAGCAAAGACCGGCCGGCCCACATGGATTCGCAAAAAGAAGCAATAGAGCACCAAAATGCATCCGTGCATCACTCAAGCCATGTGTTTTCAGCTTTGCTCGACTCAGATTCAGGGCCTGTGCACCTTCTCGAAGAAGACTTTTAGATCTTAACCAAAGACAGATAGACTCTTGCTTCGAACAGCTTTGACTCCACTGTGGATGAATCAAGTTTGGCTCGCATTGTTATTTCGCAATGTCATGTGAGAGTTTTCTCACTCTATGAGTTTGGCTGACCTTCGGAAAATTGCGACATTTCCTGAATTCACCGTTCTTTCGTTTTACCGTGTTACTCGTCGTTCTGCCACCTCCGGATTTTACAATTTTATTGTTTTACCGTTTTATCGCGGGCCTTTGCAATGGAAACTCCGTGCCAGCACAGTTTTGTTCATGAAGATTCCTCCGAAGAAGCGGGGATCCGAAGCTACCAATGTCAGAGCATCCAGTTTTGTATCAAGTAAGTTGAGTCTCCCAAAGGCCTACACAGCTGACCAGACCACGCGGTTGATGTGTTTTTCACAAGCCCTTGGGAAGGGAGGCCACGCAGGTTGGCCAACGAAACGGCACAGGCGGCAAAGCATACATGAACCTACAGAAACGAGATGCTGCCTGCAGTGCCTGCAGGTCTTCACACCCTATGTGCTTGTGCTGCAGCATGACCGGCCGTGCCTGCGGGCCATTGACGCAACGAGCCTGCTGGAGGTGGTCCTTCCGCTGGTGGCGCTGGTCGACTGGGTGCTGGGACTGCGCACCGATTCTCGGGGATATCTTGTTACTAGTACTAGTAGCTTCTTGCTACTGGTAGTAATGCCCTTGTTACCAGTGG